AAGAGTGTTTAAAAGAGTATTAGATGTTGTGTTTGTTGCATTTATCCTTAATGTTTTGACATTATTTGTTTTTGACCTTTAAGATCTCTGAAGGAGCTTCAAGTGACCCCAAAAACCGATGTGTTTGCGTTTGGAGTGGTACTTTCAGAGCTGTTAACAGGGAAACGTGCACTATTTCGAGAAAGCCAAGAAGACATCAAAATGAAATCACTCATTACTGTTGTAAGTGTAATATAAAAAAGATTATTAGATTCAAGTTTGAAACAGTATCCACATGACATTCAAATTTGTCTTCTTGAAAGCTGAGAGTGAGCTGAAACCTTATTACATCATTATTTTATATGAAATTTTACTTCAAAAAGCTAATTAATTTATATGGAAGAAGGCTGAGATTTCATTTCATCATATTCAGGTTAATAAAATATTCCAAGATGATGACCCAGAGACTGCTTTAGAAGATGCCATAGATAAGAATCTAGAAGCTAGTTATCCGATGGAAGATGTCTACAAGGTTAGATTAATATCTATGATTATATTTTCATCTTAAGTATCTACGCTTCCCTCAAATTTAATTTCTATGTATATACTATATAGTGTAAAGGGGAAACCATTAGTTTAGAACTTAAAATATATATAGAAATTGGAAACTCACTAGGGAGGACAAAACGTAGGTTGGGCATAAATGATGTAAATGTTACCAAGAAAAGCAAAATCATACGAGAAAGACAAGTGAGAACGTAAGAAACATAGCTGTTTTCATGTTCATGCATGCAATGTTCCTTACACGCACAATATTCCTTATAACTATTAATTATTTGTACCGAATCTTATGAAAACTAAATAATAAAAAATTAATTAAATGATTCTTTTTCTCATGCATTTCAGCATTATATATCACATATATTTTGATGTATCCCGATGAAGTACTACATAATATTAGATCAATGTTAGATTTTATAAATATGATTTATATTGGACCATTCAATTCAATTTTTTTAAAAATAAATTACCTAATAAAAAATCATTTAATATTATAAAATAATTTTGATTTGTATAATTCTAAATTAAGGTAAGAGAGTCTAATTTACTTCGTTAATTAGGTGAGTGGATTATAAACTCTTAATCTTAAGTTCGATTTTAATGATTAAAAAAAACTAATTCATTCATATATTGTGCCAATATTTAGAAAGTTAAGAGGTTTAAGAAAAAAACATGCATAAAAGTTTAAATATCTTAATACTTTTATAAGGGTAATATAGCTAGTTAAAGTTTCTTTGCTTCTACTAATGACTTGAGATTGAATCTAATTTTCCTTGTATTTTATATCATTTCATATAAACTTATACTAAGAGTGAATTAGGCGATTCGTAATTTCATTGAAAACTTTTAAAAAAGTTAGTAGTTGATTTTAATCTTATATGGAGTCGTGTTTTGCCCTAATTTACTTTTCACTACCAAAAATAAAAATATCTTGATTTATGTCATTTGTGAACATTTTTCCAATAAAATCTAAAAATAAACTAATAATTAAAACTTATATACTTCCATGGTTTTATTTGTATTTTATATTCTCTTATGGTAACTTATACTATAAAGATAAAAATGAGATAGACGTTTCGTAATTTCACTAATTTTTTTAAAGAAATTAATAATTGACTTTTACCTTATATGAGATTGTGTGTTATCTTAACCTAACCTTTTCACTACCAAAAAAAAATATTTTGATGTATGTCATTTTTGAACATTTTTTCAATAAAGTCTAAAATAAACTAGTAAGTCACAATAGCCTTTTTTTATTTATTATTTCACATCAGTGTTTTAAGTCTTTATTTTAGATTAGTCTAGTTTAACTAAGATATAAGTAAATCCAAATCAAAGATAATAAGTCACAATTATATCATATATGTAACGACCCGGCTGGTCACTACACACGACACCGCACACTAGAAACACCGCACAGAAGAGAACAAATGTATACATATAGAGTCTAGAATATACATATACATGATCCAGTCTGAACAGAGTTAAAGTGTACAAAAGAAATTACAATCAAATGTTACTATCACAAGTAACTACACAGCAAAAAGGTATCACAACAGAAATAAGCTCCACGGGTCCACCGGAGACTCACCACCAGACACCCACCTATCCATGCTCTGCTCCCATACATTGTATGATCATTGCAGTCCAACATCATGGAGACAACAAAAGGGTAAGCTAGTGTAATTAAAATTCAACATACAAATATATATCAATATAAATAAACAACAGATACAGTTATCAGCACACTTGTACAGCTTATACCACTCAACAATATCAGCACCGCAATGCGGCAATATCAGCACTGCTTAGCAGCAACAACAGCACCACTTGAGTGGCTATAACGGCACCGCAAAGCGGCAACAACAGCACCGCCTTAGCGGTTAGAATCAGCACCACATGTGTGGCTAACAACAGCACCGACTTAGCGACTATAATATCCCACAACTCAGCACAGCACAGCACAGCACAACACAGCACAGCACAGCACAGCACAACACAACACCACACAGCACAATAATTCAACACAATTATTATTTTCCATAATTCAGCCCAACAGTCTAAAAATTCCGCTATACTATAAAATTTCACTTATTAATCCAATGATTCCAGCTCAACAATACACCTCTAATACAGCTAACATATTTATCTCCTTGTCATCATAGCATATTCATCAAATACAAATGGTTCAGCATATAACATCATTGATTTACAATCTCGGCACAATTCAACAGCCAACATCATATAGGTCATCATCTGCTTGCGCGCCCGGTGCACTCGAGGTCGCGCCCAGCGCGGCTTAACCCGAGAGCACCAGGACCAGTGCGCCCAGCGCAGGAGTACTCGCGCCCAGCGAGACTCAACCCGAGAGCACCAAGGCTCTCCCGCACCTAGCGCAATTCCAAATTGCGCCTAGCGCCTGTCTGGCAGAGACTCAAGGAGTCTCGTGCGCCCAGCGGAGCCTAACCCGCGCCCAGCGTGGGGAAGGCAGAGACCTACCAGGGTCTCGCGCCCAGCGCAATTCACAATTGCGCCCGGCGTGCCCTTGGCAGAGACTCCCAAGGAGCCTCCGCGCCCAGCGAGTCCAAAAGTGCGCCTAGCGCGGTCCAAGTATCCCAAAAACATGTTACTCTTGATATCGCGCCCAGCGCAGCTCGAGTCACGCCCGGCGCGGGCCAACCAGAGACCCCCATTTGCAAGCTCGCCCAGCGCACACAGCCTTGCGCCCGGCGGGCTTGCCTAAACAGAGTCTCCTGGTGGTCGCGCGCCCGGCGCGAAGAACAGCGCCCAGCGCGAACTCATCAGTAACTCTCCCCAAGTTCGAAAATTGCTCAAAACCTGCAAATCTTAACAGAAAAACCACATGCAAACGGTTCATAGTGTCACATTTTCACCAAGGAGTTCAAAAGTATCAGCTTTTTGTGCATGTAACAACAATTCAAGCAAATCCCAAACTTTGACTTAAAACCACAAAACCCCCAAAAACCCCAAAGTTTTCAGCAAACTCAGCCATACACAGTAAAATCCCAACAGCCAAAAGGGTTCATAAACCCGTTTTCCAGCCAAAACGCAGCAAAATACTAACTTCCCTTACCTCGGTGAAGAAATCCGAGCTTCCGGGAAGAGACGATTGAGGAACGGAGAAGAGAGAAGAGTCGGAGAAGAAGAGGAACCCCCAAATGTTCAGCTAGCAACCTTAATCACTCCACACCACCACCTTGAATCCAAGAACCAAAGTGAAATCAGCCAAAATGAGAATGGAGGGAGAAAAGAGAGTTAATGGGAGAGTTAGAGTTGGGAGGGGGAGTGTGGTCAGCTAAGGGTAGGGTCTCACAATCTCCCCAACAACAAGAGTTTTCGTCCCCGAAAACAAATTTACTTGGGAATAGAAACGGGTAACGCTCTTGGCACTGCTGCTCAACCTCCCAAGTAGCCTCACTAGTAGTTGTATCCCACAATACTTTCACCAGAGCAATGGATTTGCCCCTCAGCTCCTTCAGCTTATGATCCACCACGGCTACTGGCAACTTCTCAAAAGTCAGGTTCGGCTTCACTTGTACATCATCCAGCTCCACCACATGACTCGGGTTAAGCACATACTTCCTCAGCTGGGATACATGAAACACATCGTGTAGGTTTGAAAGAGACGGTGGCAAAGCCAACCGATAAGCAACTGGACCTACACGCTGTATGATCTGATAGGGACCCCCAAATCTCGGTGTTAACTTCCGAGCCTTCAGCGTTCTTCCCACACCCGAGGTCGGAGTCACCTTTACAAATACATGCTCCCCTTCGGCAAACTCCAAAGGCTTACGCCAGGTGCAGGACCGGTATCAGTGGCTCCTTATAGGATGGCTCCAGCTGAGTTGGTAGAGCTGAAGAAACAGATTGAGAATTTGTTGGAAAAATAGATGAAGAGGTCTTGTGTTTCTCCTTGGGGTGCCTCGGTATTGTTAGTGAAGAAGAAGGATGGTGGAGCCCATTTGTGTGTTGATTATCGGCAATTGAATAAGTTGACAATAAGGAATAAGTATCCATTTTCGAGGATTGATGATTTGATGGATCAGTTGAGGGGAGCTTCGGTGTTTTCAATGATTGATTTGAGATTTGGATACCATCAAATTAGGGTAAAGGAAAGTGACATACCGCAGATTACTTTTAGGACTAGGTATGGTCGCTGTGAGTACGTAGTGATGTGTTTCGGTGTCACTAATGCTCCAATAGTGTTCATGGACTACATGAACAGGATTTTCAGGTCATTCTTGGACAGGTTTGTGGTGGTCTTCATTGATGATATATTGGTGTATTCTAGATCTTTGGAGGATCACCGTGAGCATCTGAGGTTGGTTTTAGAGGTGCTAAGAGAGAGGTAGTTGTATGCCAAGCTGTCCAAGTGTGAGTTTTGATTGTTTGAGGTGAGATTTGGGGCGTGTGATATCGGTAGAGGGGATTGTAGTGGTTCTAGCCAAGGTGGAGGCTGTGATTCAGTGGGAGCGTCCGAGGACTGTTACGGAGATTAGGAGTTTTGTTGGGTTAACGGGTTACTATCAGAGATTTAAAGAAGGTTTCTCTTGAATAGTAATGCCTTTGACTTAACTGACTCGGAAGGATCAACTTTTTGTTTGGATGGACGCTTGTGAGCAGAGTTTTCAGGAATTGAAGGAGTGATTGACTACTTCTCCAGTTTTGGTGTGTTGATGCAGGAAGGGAGAGTAGTAACATATGCTTCGAGGCAACTTAAGACTCATGAGAGGAATTATCCTACTCATGATTTGGAGCTTGCAGCTATGGTGTTTGCCTTGAAGTCGTGGAGACACTATTTGTATGGTGCGAGATTCAGTGTATTTAGTGATCAGAAGGAGTTGAATATGAGGCAGTGTGGTGACGTCGGAGATGTGTGTGAGATGCCCGATAGAGGTGTCTGGTAGGAGGTTCCGAGTGAACCTGATTGTGTTGCCCATGGTGGATATCGACATAATCTTAGGGATGGATTGGTTATCTGCCCATCACATCCTTATAGATTGTGCTCGGAGAGAGTTGGTGTTTCCTCAGTTGGAGGATGAGGTGTTGGTATCAGCGGGTCAGGCTGAGCAGTTAATGAGGGATGGAGCTGAGTGCTTCATGTTGTTTGCAGCTTTGAGTATTGAGACAGAGAGAGCTATCGTTGGGATCGAGATTGTCAGTGAATTTCCTGAGGTGTTTCCAGATAATGTGCCAGGATTGCCACCCAGGCGTATGTTGAGTTTAGCATTGATCTGGTACCAGGTGCAGGACCGGTATCAGTGGCTCCTTATAGGATGGCTCCAGCTGAGTTGGTAGAGCTGAAGAAACAGATTGAGAATTTGTTGGAAAAATAGATGAAGAGGTCTTGTGTTTCTCCTTGGGGTGCCTCGGTATTGTTAGTGAAGAAGAAGGATGGTGGAGCCCATTTGTGTGTTGATTATCGGCAATTGAATAAGTTGACAATAAGGAATAAGTATCCATTTTCGAGGATTGATGATTTGATGGATCAGTTGAGGGGAGCTTCGGTGTTTTCAATGATTGATTTGAGATTTGGATACCATCAAATTAGGGTAAAGGAAAGTGACATAATCGACTACCCCCATCCTTCTTCTTTACCAACAACATAGGAGCACCCCACGGCGAAACACTCGGCCACACCAACTG